ATTCCACAAGAACATAACACGTATTTCCATTAAGAACACACACACAAACTTAATGTGGTAAACAAGAAGAGTTCAGAAGAGACTTGATACACTTACTGATTGATCATTAAATTCAAACTACGTACAACAATGATCCTTATCTGCTCTGTTTTAACATTTGTCTTGAGTTATGGTTGCCCATAGATCTTTGACTCGTCTCTTTACATTCATCTTATCTCCACTGGACTCAACAGAAGACTGTATCATGATTAGAGTTTCTTTTACTGACTGATAAATCCACCAATGTTAGTGCCATTATAGTCCACCTCATCTTCATATGTCCATCAGTCTCCATAATAACAAACGAAACGTGTGTATCTGGAGATCTCCTCTGTGGCTGTATCTGACTCTGCTGTGTATTTTTGCTCTGGAGCCCACAGTCACAGAGAAGCCTACAGACACAATGTTTTGATTTTGATTAATCTCCTTAGGGTTGCGTTCTCAGTCCACTCCTGTACTCCCCGTACACATACGACTGTGCAGCTACACAGCTCCAACGTCATCATCAAATTCGCTGATGTTTGTAATTATATACTGTACATATGAGTATATATTATATATTATAATATAATATTACACTGTTGGAAATAACTGTGATATATGTTTTCTCTGCTACTGGTTATATTAAGCTACACTGCATATTGTATATGGTCATTTGTATATTGCTCATATGTTAATTGTGATTGTATACTGTCTTTATGTTAACTGTATTCTGCACTGTATGGAGCACGCTCTTAAGAATTTCACTCATTACGGCACGTGTTGTTAGTGATGTGACAAAAAAGGATTCGTATTCCTATAAAGGATTCGTGTACTTGTACTAAGACATTTTTCTCCTATGGTATGACATGCTCAGCAAAATTTTTATTTTTATAATGCATTGGGGGGGGGGGGGGTTGTTTTGTTTTTATTATTTATTTATTTATTTATTTTTGATCCCAATTTAATTGTTATGCTACATGGAATATTTGTTCAAAAGTTTAATTTAAAAAACAAAGAACACTTGGGACTTCATGAATATGAAAAAAAGAAAGAAATATAGGCTATATACATTCCGTGTCATTTGCTATTGAGATTCAAAAACTGTAATATACGCTGCCAGAGACTACTATTACAGAAGTAAATCATATTGCCAGAAGGCGGAGCTTAATATCATGATGTAGAACCATTTTTATCAAGGAGGTTGTCAGAATTCAAAGGCATCCAGTCTGAATGATACTCAAGTCTTTCCGATTCTTCTTCAGTTATCTGCTATCATGATTATTTTCACTCTCCTCAGTTTTTTGTGGACATTTATTGGTAAGATAAAGTTTTTTAGTTTGTTTTTCTCCAATATAGATTAGTTACTTTTTACTTATTTAATGCAATACTTTTTACAGTTTAGTTACTGTTTGATTTATCTAACCAGGCGTTTTTTCTTCATTTATAGACCACACAGAGGCAGATGCAATAAAACCATTGTCAGGGAATGAAAATAGACTTGTTGGTGACGCTGTTAATCTGTCCTGCAGTTACAAAGACTATACGAGTACTGTACAGAATTTACAATGGTACAGACAATATCCCAGATCCAAACCGGAGTTCCTTCTTTACATTTTCCCACATGGAGTTATGAGTGAAGATAGACCAGACAGATTTTCTGCTAAAGTTCATCAAGATATTAAACAAGTGGATCTGAAGATCTCTTCTGCTGTACAGGCAGATTCTGCCGTGTATTACTGTGCTCTGGTGCCCACAGTCACAGGAAATCTAACAGTGTCATACAAAAACCTCCCACTTCATTAAAGAAAGACAAATATTCAGACATTTAGTTGTACTGTATATCTAAATGCATCACCTGAATATCCTCACTGGAATAACCCCAATTGCCACACAATAGCCTCACTTTTACTGGAACAAATCACACCATGCATATTTACAAGTAGTTTACATCTTCCCATATAATTGTACAGAAAAGGCTCAACTTGGCCGTATTTTGCCAGGAGGTGGCACTCTATGACTTACACTTACACTTGATTATTTAAGTCTGGTCTCAAGCTCCTGCTAAATTTCAGTTTTATCTTGCAAAATAATGGTGCAATTTTATTCTGTAGGTGTTTTTATGTACAGATTTACTTTGCACAATATCTTGCTAATGGTATAACTTAACAATTCTTTACTTAAAGCTGCAGTCAATGATCCAAAATAAATGTTTGAGAAAATACAGAACCAGCCAGTGTTCAAAACTATCTGCTTATGGCAAGCCGTTTTAACATTTAATCATTTTAACCAACTAGTCTCTATTTTCATGCTACTAGTACTTATTTTTTAGATACTAGTGTCTATTCCATTAAGTACTAGTACTTATTCATTAGCTAGTGCTTATTCTTTAGATACTTGTGCCTTTTCTTTAGATGCTTATTCTTTAGGTATTAGTACCCTTTTTAAAGATACTAGTATTTATTCATTAGATAGTCCTTATTTATTAAATACTAGTACTTATTCATTAGATATTAGTCCTTATTTATTAGATACCAATGTTAATTCATTAGTTAGTACTTATTCATTAGATACTACTTATTCATTAGATATTAGTCCTTATTTATTAGATACCAATGCTTATTCATTAGTTAGTACTTATTCATTAGATACTTGTACCTTTTAAATAGATACTAGAACTTATTCAGTACTTATTTCAAGTAACTATTCTTTTGTTACTAGTAACAAATTAATTCTTTTTGCCATTGACTTCTATGGGGATCTGTCATTCAGATATCAACTATTCAGTTCTGACTATGTATTCCAATTGTGACTAGTACTAGATACTAGTAGTCATTCATTAGGTACTAGTGCCTATTAAATAGATACTAGTACCTATTAAATAGATACTAGTACTTATACATTATCTACTAGTATTCAATAGATACTAATACATTAGCTACTAGTAACTAGTATTTATTCAATAGATACTAAGCTAGTACTTATCAATTAGATACCAGTACCTATTAATTAGAAATTAGTACTTATTCAATAGATACTAGTACTTATTCATTAGATACTAGTACTTATTCATTAGATATTAGTATTTATTAGTAGTACCTATTTATTAGATAATATAGTATTTATTCCAAATGCTACTAGTAAGAATGTTTATTTTACTGGTAAGATTTTTAATTGAACACTACAGTGGTTGTTCTGACTAGTCATAACATAAGACTAGTAAGAAAGCAGTCGTGACTAGTAAAATAAAAATTCTTACTAGTAACATTTGGAATAAATACTATATCTAATTAATAGATACTAGTATCTATTGAATAGGTACTAGTATCTAATTAATAAGTTTAAGTATCTAATAAATATTGTGCCATCCATAAATGCACGTTTTTGAAGGAGCTTTACTTCAACTGCTCTGTGCTGCTAATAACGTTTTACCCAGTTCGAGGGCCAAAATTACCATTTAAAATCAGAATAAGAGCAATGAGTACAGCTCACTCACATTCACTAACATGATCGAAACGTTAGCTTTACTTTTACATCAATACGATTTTGCATTAAAGCGCGGTTAACACCCACCCCAACCTGCACTGGAAGTTTTGATCGGTTCCAGGGCTCCACCCCACCCCAGTAGTTAAAGAAGCATTTACCCATTTCAACATTAATCTATATTAAAAGTGGATCATATTATATGTAGTCGAAAATAAAACAAATTTTGAATTTGGTGCCCTCTTGACCGAGAAAAGATAGAAAATAACTAAAGGGCGCATTTGTATGTAAGACAACAACTCCCACAATGTACCACATTGCACAGCTCCACAAGCCACACCCACTAATCCAGAACAGCGCGAACATCAGAGAAATCACTCTTCCGTCTTCAAGGCTAACGTAACTTAGCTGTCAACAGAGTTTGAAATTCATTTCATACAAAAATTCTAGTTAGTTGGCTGTGGCGAGCAGGACAAGGGACGTAAGAGGACGGCGCGAGGGCAGTGGTGTGATAATGAAAGACAGCAGTGAGGTGTGAGACACACCGGTCTCGCATCTCTCACGGAGGAGCGGAAGCATAAAGGAGGAGCGACGACGGCAGATCGAGAGAGGAACAGGCCTGATTTCATGTTGTGTTTTGTTTCTGTTGTGTGTTGTTTCTTTTGTTTTGTATTTGTTCATTTTACTATTAAAATGTTTAAATGTTCGCCGGTTCCCGCCTCCTTCTTCCCAGAACAACGAACCCCATTACATTGGCAAACTCAAAAGTGAATTACTCCTCAAACTTGTTAGCTTAACTTCCAAACAAGATGGCTGATATTCATTCAGTATCTGCAAGTGAAGTCCCATCCACTGATCTGTAATAAGCCTGTGGTAATGAGCTATAATGTTTGTAGTCTCTACAGTTTTCAATGAAATATGACTTCCCGCTTATTATGACAATTTTTATGTCATAATAAGCAGGAAGTAAGACACTTAAATCCTTATTTCTCCCATCTCAGGGGAAAATAAGTGAATAAACCATGACCATTCAAAAATATGACTGGGTTTCTATACAAAGCTAAATGCAAATGGGTGAAGTGTCCCTATAAGTTCCAATTAAAATTTCAGTTTGCACCACTGATCCCTCTTTTTTGTACTACTATATTGGGTGAAAAAGAAAAATAGTTAGGCTATTAACATACAATGCACAATCAGCACATTATTTATTTTTGGGCATATAATCATATCATGTAATTATATAATAATATGATATTGCCATGAACTAACTGTTCACTGTTTCACTGTTCTTTAACCTTAAATTATATTAGAGAAAACATATATATTTTTTTGGGCAGTTTTATCAGTTAACATTTCCCTTTTGTTACACACTGCTGTAATGATCATTTTACTCTGGAATAGTTGCAATATATTCTGCCAGAAGGTGGAGCTAGGAAACCTAGTCACAGTTCAATTGTTTCACAACAGAGCAGACATTCAGTTAACTTGAGTCACTTATACTAAGGAGGGAACTGTAAGTCTTGACACTCAAAGTTGTCTCTTATTAGTGCAGATGTTGCTCCTGGTATTCATTATATTTTCTCTTCTAAGAGGTGAGTCATAAATAATTACTGTATAAGTTTTTTTCTCTCTTTATCCTATTGACAATCTGTGGGAATGATTTTCCCCTGTTTATACTGTTGACAATTTAAATTTGTCCATTTGAAATTATTCATTTTAATTTTATTTGTTTTAAACAGAGAATGCTGCTGCAGATGCGCCAACACCATTCTTCACAGAGAAGCATGTTTTGGAAGGAAAATATGTTACACTGATCTGCAACTACACTGGCAATGTTCAGAATTTGCAGTGGTACCGTCAGTATCCCGGATCCAAACCTGAGAACATAATTTTATACTTTGAAAACAGCCCCAAATCCGAGCCCTCTCTCCGTCTGACCGCTGTAGCTGATAGAGTCATCAAACATATGAATCTGACAATCTCTTCTACAGAAGTCAAAGACTCTGCCATGTACTATTGTGCCCTGCAGCCCACAGTGACAGGAAACACAACTCCACCCTACAAAAACTGAGTGATAAATCATATTTAAGCCAGAAGACCATTAAGCCCATCATGATGCACAATGTGGATTTAAAAACATCAGCACTGTACAACTATCAAATGTTTCAAGCATCAATGGGCTTTTCATATCTATATTAATGGTTAATATTTCAGGGAATCACGATCACAATCAAAAGTTGTACAAATAGGAAGCTTATTCCAACATGTGCAACTGAGTGTCCACTTAACACAGACTGTAATAAATGAATTTGACTGGCATAATACCAATATTAGGTTGTTACAGCTTCTTTCTATATTGAGTATTTGTAGAGTAAGATGAGCAAAGTACAGCACGTGTGGGAGGAGCTCAATGTTTTGTCGACTCCTACAGAATAAATGAGAGAAAACAATGTCTTTCCTTCATACCGATCATACTCTGAACTCAAACTACAGAATCATGTTACTCATCTCTTCAGTTTTAATATTTATCCTTTGTTACTGTAAGTAGTATTATTTACAAAGATGTTGCACTATATTCCACATCACTAAAATATATAAAACAAACTTTAATTTTCTTTGCTCTAAATTGAATCCATTACATTGCTTGATTCTTTAATGTCTTTGCAGGTAAAGCGAATGGGAATGCCATCAGAGCAAACCAACCATCTGAAGTTTTAACTGAAGGAAGCAGCATCACTCTCTCCTGTACTTATGAATCTGGATCAGCTTACAGTCTCCACTGGTACCGGCAGATGCCTGGATCAACACTAGAGTTTCTGCTGCTGATTGTGAAGTCTACTAAGTATGTCGCCAAAGCTGACCGACCTCATCCGCATATATCCATTAGACTTCATGACGAACTTGTGGATCTGGAGATCTCCTCTGCTGCGGTCTCTGACTCTGCAGTGTATTACTGTGCTCTGCAGCACACAGTGACAGGAAACCCAAAAAGACTGTACAAAAACCCTCTTATAATTTTTCTATTCCATATTCATATTTATAAGAGTTATCTCTTGTCTTTCCTTTTCTTTGCTCTATAAATGATCTTTCTCTACCATTATGATCTATCTGTGGTATTCCATTAAGTTTTGAAAATTTTTCAAAGGTCAAAGTCTTTCCAGGCTTGAGTTGCTGAAGACACATTTCTCTACAAATAAATAAATAAATAAATAAATAAATACTGGTATATGCTTAAAAAGGCCATTATCAAATCAAAAGAAATAAAAAACAAATACAAAAAAAATGTGCAGAAACATTTAAAAGTTGAAGTAAAAGGACTGAAATAGTACTCCAATAATCTCTATATGTATATGTATATATATAAACTGAACAAAATACAAACGCAACAATATTGTTTTTGCCCTATTTTACATGTGCTGAACTCAAAGAGCTAAGACTTCATCTATATTGTTCACAAATCTGTCTAAATATGTGATAGTGAGCACTTCTTCTTTGCCGAGATAATCCATCCACCTCGCAAGATGCTGAATAGACAGAATGATTATTGCACAGGTGCGCCCTGTATAGTGTGTTATATATATATATAGTGTTTTTAAAATGTTTAAATATAAATATCTTGTCACAGGGAGGTTTTACAGAACCCTTATCACCCACAAAATTATTTTATGTCATTTATGACCTCCACTTGGAGTAGGCTGCTGATTTCTTTTGAACATTACAAATTAGATGAATAGTTATTTTTGTAGATAGAATGTAATATGTTTATCATGTTGCTGTACTATACATGACTATACATGACTTTATCATGTTGCATGACTGCTATACATTTACCAAAAACACTCAATTTGCACAGCTTCATTGTTTTAGTTACATCCAACAAAAAGCAATGGCAAACTTAACCATCGGTTTACCATACACACATTCTCCAGTCTCTCAGTAGTTTTTTTTTATTAGGCTACATCAGACATACTCCAGAAATCCCTAGTTTAGCATGAGTTTTGCCAGAAGGTGGAGCTCTCATTTTAGTTATTTCAAAGCAGAGTGCACAAATATAAACTTAGTCAGTTTGGAGGAAACTTCAAGTCTAGACACTAAAGGTCTTTTTTCTCTTGACGATGTTGCTCCTGGTCCTCATGATATTTTCTCTTTTTAATGGTGAGTGATGAATAAGAATCATTTCCAAATAGGACTTCTCTTTTTTGCTGTTTAAATGTGTTAGTAAACCAACTGAGTACAAAAACTTACTAAGTCCATGAATTTGAATGTTTGCTTCTTATTTATTTAAACAGAGAATGCTAATGCAGATGTGATCACATTAACCATGGAGCAGCATGTTCTAGCTAAAGAGGATCTTACACTGACTGTCCTGCAACTACAGTGGCAATATTCGCAGTTTGCAGTGGTACCGTCAGTATCCCGCATCTAAACCTGAGTTTCTCATTTTTTACACTGAGACCACTGGTCATTCAGAGCCCAAGCTTCGTCTATATGCAATGGCCGATAAAGGAATCAAGCGCATGAATCTAAAAGTATCCTCTCTACACACGTGAATGATTCTGCTGTTTACTACTGTGCCCTGCAGCCCACAGTGACAGGAAAACTGTAACAGCAACAGAACAAATCAATTAGCAAATGTCTCAAACATTTATGTGCTGTTCTTTTGTAGTCTCATAATGATGATTAGCATTTCAGATATTCAGGACCAATTTTAAATGATTTCAAAATAGCTATACATGTTCCAGTTGTGCCTACACATAATATCAAATCACTCTTTGACACAACATTAAAAAAAAAATTAACAAGAATAAATTAAATGAAAGTTTTAAAAAGTCACGTACGAGGGCTTGGAATTATACCAGATTCGGTCCCACTTTATATTAAGTGGCTTTTAGTACTATGTACTTACATAGGAAAATAAGTACAATATACTTATTGTGTTCAGGTTGTATAGTAAAACACTTTTGCTGCTATTGAGGTGTGATATGGGTAAGGTTAGGGACAGGTGTGGTGGTATGGGTAGGGATCAGGGTGGGTTAAGGTGTAAGGGAAGGGTCAACTGTGTAATTACAAATGTAATTACATCAATTAATTACAGTTGTAATTACATGCAGGTATTTTCAAAATATAAGTACAATGTAAAAACATGTATGTACACAATAAGTCCAATGTATCAAAGTAGTAACTTCAATGTAAGTACATAGTAAGCCACTTAATATAAAGTGGGACCAAAGATTCTGTTTAAAGATCTTAGAAACTCAGAAACACTGTATATTCCACATGACATATAGTTCTTAATTGTATTTGGATTTCTGCTGCTGTTTGTTAAGTCTACTAAAACTGAAGTTCCAGCTTTTCTACCTCTCCCAATGTTTTTTTTTTTCTTTTAATTATTGTGCTCTGCAGCACACAGTGACACGAAACACAAATACAAGTTCAATCTTCTTAAATATTATACATTAGGCCACATCCCATATGAAATGAGAAGATACTGGAGCAAAAGTGATCTCACCTGCATTCTTCCAGAAGGTGGAGCTCTAAGAACCAATTGTAGTTCAGTCTCAGTTCAGATTAAAAACAGAGCAGACAGACTTCTATTGAGTCACTAATACTCTAGGAGGAAACTGTAAGTCTTGGATCTCTAAGTCATTGTCTCTTATTAGTGCAGATGTTGCTCCTGGTATTCACTATAGTTTCTCTTCTAAAAGGTGAGTGATTAACAATTACTGCAGGAATGTTTCCCCCCTTTTTATACTGTTGACAATTTAAATTTGTCCATTAGAAATTATTCATTATTTTTTGTTTATTTTAAACAGAGAATGCTGCTGCAGATGTGCCAACACCATTCTTCACAGAGAAGCATGTTTTGGAAGGAAAAGATGTTACACTGATCTGCAACTACACTGGCAATGTTCAGAGTTTGCAGTGGTACCGTCAGTATCCCGGATCCAAACCTGAGAACATAATTTTATACTTTGAAACCAGCCCCAAATCAGAGCCCTCTCTCCGTCTGACCGCTGTAGCTGATAAAGTCATCAAACATATGAATCTGACAATCTCTTCTACAGAAGTCAAAGACTCTGCCATGTACTATTGTGCCCTGCAGCCCACAGTGACAGGAAACACAACTCCACCCTACAAAAACTGAGTGAGAAATCATATTTAAGTCAGAAGACCATTAAGCCCATCATGATGCACAATGTGGATTTAAAAACATCAGCACTGTACAACTATCAAATGTTTCAAGCATCAATGGGCTTTTCATATCTATATTAATGGTTAATATTTCAGGGAATCACGAGTCGACACACTAAAAGTTGTACAAATACCAATCTTATTCCAACATGTAGCAACTGAGTGTCCACTTAACACAGACTGTAATAAATGAATTTGACTGGCATAATACCAATATTAGGTTGACTACAGCTTCTTTCTATATACAGTATTGAGTATTTGTAGAGTAAGATGGGCAAAGGACAGCACGTGTGGGAGGAGCTCAATGTTTTGTCGACTCCTACAGAATAAATGAGAGAAAACAATGTCTTTCCTTCATACTGATCATACTCTGAACTCAAACTACAGAATCATGTTAATCATCTCTTCTATTTTAATATTTATCCTCAGTTACTGTAAGTAGTATTATTTACAAAGATGTTGCACTATATTCCACATCACTAAAATATATAAAACAAACTTTAATTTTCTTTGCTCTAAATTGAATCCATTACATTGCTTGATTCTTTAATGTCTTTGCAGGTGAAGCGAATGGGAATGCCATCAGAGCAAACCAACCATCTGAAGTTTTAACTGAAGGAAGCAGCATCACTCTCTCCTGTACTTATGAATCTGGATCAGCTTACAGTCTCCACTGGTACCGGCAGATGCCTGGATCAACACTAGAGTTTCTGCTGCTGATTGTGAAGTCTACTAAGTATGTCGCCAAAGCTGACCGACCTCACCCGCATATGTCCATTAGACTTCATGATAAACTTGTGGATCTGGAGATCTCCTCTGCTGCTGTCTCTGACTCTGCAGTGTATTACTGTGCTCTGGAGCCCACAGTGACAGGAAAATCATCTACACTGTACAATAACAGGTTTCTTGTAGTCATGTTTTCTAAGAGGGAGGAGCTTCTTCCCATGCAGTGTCTCAGTCTTTCCCCCTCTTTCCTTTCCTTTGCAGTGTAGTGTTGCCTTTTTCTGAGAAATGTTAGTGCACAATTTAGTTAATTGTTGATCATTTAAGCCCACTATTACAAGACAAAACACTATAATTTACAATACACTGAGATAACCACTACACCATGAACTAACATGGTAGAAAACTTAAAACCAATCAGGTGGCCCCTGACATTAGCTCGTAATTAGTATTAATTGTACAAAAATGAATAAAACAAAATTCCTGCAGACGGGACTTTATTTAACTCATAACCTTATAATTAAATAATTAAATGTAATCTAAATAACTGTTACACTCACATCCTTTTTGTGAAAATTGAAATATGTTTTCAATTAACCATTTTTAGTCTTTTTACTGCATAATTTATTAGTTTTTTGTTTGTTTTGTTTTTCGGTAAGCTCTTATTTGTTGTTTAAGATACATCCCTTATGAAATGAAGAGATAAAGTAGCAAAAGTGATCTCATCTGCATTCTTCCAGAAGGTGGAGCTCTAAGAACCAATTGTAGTTCAGTCTCAGTTCAGATTAAAAACAGAGCAGACAGACTTCTATTGAGTCACTAATACTCTAGGAGGAAACTGTAAGTCTTGGATCTCTAAGTCATTGTCTTTTATTAGTGCAGATGTTGCTGCTGGTATTTACTTTAGTTTCTCTTCTAAAAGGTGAGTGATTAACAATTACTGCGGGAATGTTTCCCCCCTTTTTATTATACTGTTGACAATTTAAATTTGTCCATTAGAAATTATTAATTATATTTGGTTTATTTATTTTAGAGAATGCTGCTGCAGACGCGCCAACACCATTCTTCACAGAGAAGCATGTTTTGGAAGGAAAAGATGTTACACTGATCTGCAACTACACTGGCAATGTTCAGAATTTGCAGTGGTACCGTCAGTATCCCGGATCCAAACCTGAGAACATAATTTTATACTTTGAAACCAGCCCCAAATCAGAGCCCTCTCTCCGTCTGACCGCTGTAGCTGATAAAGTCATCAAACATATGAATCTGACAATCTCTTCTACAGAAGTCAAAGACTCTGCCATGTACTATTGTGCCCTGGAGCCCACAGTGACAGGAAACACAACTCCACCCTACAAAAACTGAGTGAGAAATTATATTTAAGCCAGAAGACCATTAAGCCCATCATGATGCACAATGTGGATTTAAAAACAGCGTCACTGTACAACTATCAAATGTTTCAAGCATCAATGGGCTTTTCATATCTATATTAATGGTTAATATTTCACGGAATCACAACACACTAAAAGTTGTACAAATACCAATCTTATTCCAACATGTAGCAACTGAGTGTCCACTTAACACAGACTGTAATTTACAGTTTACTTTGTTTTACTTTAACTCATAACCATATAATTAAATAATTAAATGTTATCTAAATAACTGTTACACTCACATCCCATTTTTGTGAAAATTGAAATATGTTTTCAATTAACCATTTTTAGTCTTTTTACTGCATAATTTATTAGTTTTTTTTGTTTGTTTGTTTTTCGGTAAGCTCTTATTTGTTGTTTAAGATACATCCCTTATGAAATGAAGAGATTTAGTAGCAAAAGTGATCTCAACTGCATTCTTCCAGAAGGTGGAGCTCTAAGAACCAATTGTAGTTCAGTCTCAGTTCAGATTAAAAACAGAGCAGACAGACTTCTATTGAGTCACTTATACTCTAGGAGGAAACTGTAAGTCTTGGATCTCTAAGTCATTGTCTTTTATTTGTGCAGATGTTGCTCCTGGTATTCACTATAGTTTCTCTCCTAAAAGGTGAGTATTTCTTTTTAATTACTGCGGGAATGTTTCCCCCCTTTTATGCTGTTGACAATTTAAAATTTTCCATTAGAAATTATTACATTTTGTTTATTTATTTATTTATTTATTTATTTACAGAGAATGCTGCTGCAGACACGCTAACACCATTCTTCACAGAGAAGCATGTTTTGGAAGGAAAAGATGTTACACTGATCTGCAACTACACTGGCAGTGTTCGAAATTTGCAGTGGTACCGTCAGTATCCCGGATCCAAACCCGAGAACATAATTTTGTTCATTGAAACCAGCCCCAAATCAGAGCCCTCTCTCCGTCTGACCGCTGTAGCTGATAAAGTCATCAAACATATGAATCTGACAATCTCTTCTACAGAAGTCAAAGACTCTGCCATGTACTATTGTGCCCTGGAGCCCACAGTGACAGGAAACACAACTGCACCCTACAAAAACTGAGTGAGAAATGACATTCAAAATAGAAATTCATGATGCTCAATTTGAAAAGAGTTTGTAAACAATATAAAATGCTGTATAGTGTTGCTTTTCTATGAGAACAACCAGTTTAGCATATGCTAGTGCACATTTTACTTGTTAATTATTGGTCATTTAAGGCCACTTTTATGAGACAAAACACAATTTAATTTACAACACATTAATTTAACCAGTACACCGTATGAACTCACAAGCTGGAAAAACATTTCTTGAAGCAAAACCTAAAACCAATCAGGAGGTCCCTGAAATCCGCTTGCAAAGAAAGCTTCTAATAATGGAAATTAATTGGTATTAAATACAAAAATGTATCAAAACAAGTTTATTTGGACTAAAGGACAAAATTCTGCAGACGAGACTTTGCTTAACTGACTATCATAACTTTGCTATTTGATTTCTTTGCACAGTAAACATAAATTGTGCAATCAGTTAGACTGGTAATACCAGACTCTGCTACTTCACTTTGCTTCGTAGACAGTAGAGGTGGGCAGATCGATACTAATATCGATAATATCGATACCAACGTTGGTATCGGTATTGATCAATACCAACGCGAAAATATCAATACTTAAGTTTCAGTTTCTCTCGTTTTGCGACCTGACCGTGTTTGTCAAAATGCTGCTGCTGTCACAGAGCAGAGCAAGCTCTTTGTAATCCTAGTGCTGCTCTCATCCCCCTCTCTCCTGTGTTGTACCGTCACGTGACTCACCACTAGCTAGCGCGCTCCAGGACTACCACCAGTCAGGCACGCGCGGCCGCGCATTTCTAGTCTACAGCAGCACAATCAGAGACGGAGAACTTGTGACTTGTTTATTTAAGAAAAAAATCCTGAATTTTGCACTAAAGAAGAGAAACATTTTTTGTTTACATGCTTGAAAAGAGAATTTGTTTTTACATTTTTTATATTTGTGAAGTAATAATTTTGTAACTTTGTTTAAATAAAATAGAAGTTACCAAAAGTTGTTTCTGAACAAAAGCTTTTGTAGTACTGATTTTAACTGATTAATAACCCAAAATGCAAATCACAAAAACAAATTAAAAGTCATGAAAATTCATTTAGATTTAGGTTGAAGAGGCATCCACCTTAAAGTCCCCGTGAAATCAAAATTTACTAAATAGAACCTATTTACTTTGTTAGCGCATATTACTAGTCTTGTGGTGAACAATTAATCCGTGCAAGTAAAAATATATTAAAAAAATGTTTTACCTTCTTTAATCAAAATCTGAAAAGTTACTTCCGGTCTGGAACGGTTTCTTTTTCTGATGACGTAGGTTTCACAGCTTGGGTGGGGAAACGCTTAACCACTCCCCTCAAACCGAGAGGAGAAGCGCTAGAGTAAAACCCTGCCCTCTGTTCAATATTCGTTTCACTTGGAAATACGTCACAGCACTGGAGAAAAATCGTTTGCAACTTCCGGTTCACGGGGACTTTAATTATTAAAAAGTATCGGTATTGGTATTGGTATCGGCGATACTGGCCCTGTATTTACTTGGTATCGGATCGATACCAAATCTAGCGGTATCGCACACCTCTAGTAGACAGAGTCTGGAATGGCATAATAGAGAAGTGTTTTCTCTCTCGCAAGGGGGCGCTTCTCTGAAGTTTAAAATCATTGGTTACCTGTAAGCCAATCAGATAAGTTTATTTATGACGTATGTTATGCGCCGACACGGCATCGAGACATTATGCATCGAACTCAAATCTATGATTGAACTTCCACTATAGACAGGGAGCGGCGCTTTGGCTGCAAAATGTGTGCTAACCGGGAATGAACAATTCACAAACTAGGTTATTTATATGAATTACTGAGTTGCGGCCGCCCCGCAGCATCGGCTTGCCCTGCTCTCACGAGCCATGACTGATTTAGCTTCCGCCGCGAGGACGAGCCCCTGCTCTCACCCTTTACTGTCTATGGCTCTCACGAGTCATGAATGATTTAGTTTCCGCCGCCCCGCAGCGCCGCGATCGAGGGCGAGACCGAGCCGCTGCTCTCGCGAGTCATGAATAGGAAGTTCATTTTACTGATTTTCTGAGTCATTCGAGTCATTTTGTTTATTTAAGTGGCTTAATGTTATCATTTTAACAGCCAAATTCCCCGATTACATCCACCTACGCAATGTTGATCATATTCTGAATGAAGAAATCATAATGCAGTAAAAAATTATTTACAGAGAACATAAATAATCACTTTACCTTGCTTCCGAGTCTTACGTTCATTTGTCACGTGACATACACAATGAACAGATAGTTCATGAATCACATATCTGGAACTAATGCAGCAGGATGTCGAAACGAAATACGGTGGATTATTATTATGATAAGAGCGCGCCAGGAGCGTTCACAGCTGAGGAAACCGACGTTATTGTCATGGCTGTAAAAGACAGAGAACTGACGTTGAATGGGGGTAAATTAGGCCTATGTCCTTATATAGTTATGCATATAGTTATGGCCAAACAGGTCTGATCCGTCATTACTACAATTAGCCTGAAAAAAATGGGTAGCCTAAATGCCTAAGCTTGAAGTGTTAATATTTGTCCTTGTTATTATGTTTTGCAAAAATAAAAACGTCTGCACGTGCCGGTCCTAGCTGTAAACACTGATGATGCGAGCGAAATACTGGAGTGATGGCTGTAAACGACTTTTGCTTCAGTTTGAAAAACATCCCGTGTCTTGTTTCCCATTTCTGCGGTTGTTTCGGTATTCGGTTTTCGATTTCTCTAACCTACAATGTACTCCTCGGCGCTTAGCGGCTACGTCACGGCTCTCAGCCCGCCCTCTGTTCGTTGATTGGCCGGCTGTTTTCAGGCCGGTGGAAAACTGAAAGATAGGCCGCTATCTCAGACTGACTACAGGAGCGAAATGAAATTAGCGGAAGTAGGAAGTCTGACGTAGTCAGGCTAGCAATCAGTCAGATCTCTCTGGACAGTGAATGTCCTTATTAGGAAAAAAGTGTTACATTCACATCCTTTTGGAAAAGCCAATTTGTTCAAATCATTTTCAGTGCAGATTTCAATATGCCAAAAATTCTTCAATAAGATCTTGTTGTTTAAGACGCATCCCTTATGAAATGAAGAGAGACTGTGGCAAAAGTGATCTCATCTGCATTCTTCCAGAAGGTGGAGCTCTAAGAACCAATTGTAGTTCAGTCTCAGTTCAGATTAAAAACAGAGCAGACAGACTTCTATTGAGTCACTAATACTCTAGGAGGAAACTGCAAGTCTTGGATCTCTAAGTCATTGTCTTTTATTAGTGCAGATGTTGCTGCTGGTATTTACTTTAGTTTCTCTTCTAAAAGGTGAGTGATTAACAATTACTGCGGGAATGTTTCCCCCCTTTTTATACTGTTGACAATTTAAATTTGTCCATTAGAAATTATGAATTAATTTTTGTTTATTTATTTTAAACAGAGAATGCTGCTGCAGACACGCTAACACCATTCTTCACAGAGAAGCATGTTTTGGAAGGAAAAGATGTTACACTGATCTGCAACTACACTGGCAATGTTCAGAGTTTGCAGTGGTACCGTCAGTATCCCGGATCCAAACCTGAGAACATAATTTTATACTTTGAAACCAGCCCCAAATCAGAGCCCTCTCTCCGTCTGACCGCTGTAGCTGATAGAGTCATCAAACGTATGAATCTGACAATCTCTTCTACAGAAGTCAAAGACTCTGCCATGTACTATTGTGCCCTGCAGCCCACAGTGACAGGAAACACAACTCCACCCTACAAAAACTGAGTGAGAAATCATATTTAAGTCAGAAGACCATTAAGCCCATCATGATGCACAATGTAGATTTAAAAACATCAGCACTGTACAACTATCAAATGTTTCAAGCATCAATGGGCTTTACATATATATATTAATGGTTAATATTTCAAGGAATCACAACACACTAAAAGTTGTACAAATACCAATCTTATTCCAACATGTAGCAACTGAGTGTCCACTTAACACAGACTGTAATAAATGAATTTGACTGGCATAATGCCAATATTAGGTTGACTACAGCTTTTTTCTATATGTTGAGTATTTGTAGAGTAAGATGGGCAAAGTACAGCACGTGTGGGAGGAGCTCAATGTTTTGTCGACTCCTACAGAATAAATGAGAGAAAACAACGTCTTTCCTTCATACTGATCATACTCTGAACTCAAACTACAGAATCATGTTACTCATCTCTTCAGTTTTAATATTTATCCTCAGTTACTGTTAGTATTATTTATTACAAAGATGTTGCACTATATTCCACATCACTAAATAAAACAAACTTTCATTTTCTTTGCTCTAAATTGAATCCATTACATTGCTTGATTCTTTAATGTCTTTGCAGGTGAAGCGAATGGGAATGCCATCAGAGCAAACCAACCATCTGAAGTTTTAACTGAAGGAAGCAGCATCACTCTCTCCTGTACTTATGAATCTGGATCAGCTTACAGTCTCCACTGGTACCGGCAGATGCCTGGATCAACACTAGAGTTTCTGCTGCTGATTGTGAAGTCTACTAAGTATGTCGCCAAAGCTGACCGACCTCACCCGCATATGTCCATTAGACTTCATGATAAACTTGTGGATCTGGAGATCTCCTCTGCTGCTGTCTCTGACTCTGCAGTGTATTACTGTGCTCTGGAGCCCACAGTGACAGGAAAATCATCTACACTGTACAATAACAGGTTTCTTGTAGTCATGTTTTCTAAGAGGGAGGAGCTTCTTCCCATGCAGTGTCTCAGTCTTTCCCCCTCTTTCCTTTCCTTTGCGGTGTAGTGTTGCCTTTTTCTGAGAAATGTTAGTGCACAATTTAGTTGTTAATTGTTGATCATTCAAGCCCACTATTACAAGACAAAACACTATAATTTACAATACACTGAGATAACCACTACACCATGAACTAACATGGTAGAAAACTTAAAACCAATCAGATGGCCCCTGACTTTAGCTTGTAATTAGTATTAATTGTACAAACATGAATAAAACAAAATTCCTGCAGACGGGACTTTGTTTAAGTCATAACCTTATAATTAAATAATTAAATGTAATCTAAATAACTGTTACACTCATCATTTTTGTGAAAATTGAAATATGTTTTCAATTAACCATTTTTAGTCATTTTACTGCATAATTTATTAGTTTTTTTTGTTTGTTTGTTTTTCAGTAAGCTCTTATTTGTTGTTTAAGATACATCCCTTATGAAATGAAGAGATTTAGTAGCAAAAGTGATCTCATCTGCATTCTTCCAGAAGGTGGAGCTCTAAGAACCAATTGTAGTTCAGTCTCAGTTCAGATTAAAAACAGAGCAGACAGACTTCTATTGAGTCACTTATACTCTAGGAGGAAACTGTAAGTCTTGGATGTCTAAGTCATTGTCTTTTATTTGTGCAGATGTTGCTCCTGGTATTCACTATAGTTTCTCTTCTAAAAGGTGAGTGATTCATAACAATTACTGCAGGAATGTTTCCCCCCTTTTATGCTGTTGACAATTTGAATTTCTCCATTAGAAATTATTACATTTTGTTTATTTATTTATTTATTGATTTATTTACAGAGAATGCTGCTGCAGATGCGCCAACACCATTCTTCACAGAGAAGCATGTTTTGGAAGGAAAAGATGTTACACTGATCTGCAACTACACTGGCAGTGTTCGAAATTTGCAGTGGTACCGTCAGTATCCCGGATCCAAACCTGAGAACATAATTTTATACTTTGAAACCAGCCCCAAATCAGAGCCCTCTCTCCGTCTGACCGCTGTAGCTGATAAAGTCATCAAACGTATGAATCTGACAATCTCTTCTACAGAAGTCAAAGACTCTGCCATGTACTATTGTGCCCTGGAGCCCACAGTGACAGGAAACACAACTGCACCCTACAAAAACTGAGTGAGAAATGACATTCAAAATAGAAATTCATGATGCTCAATTTGAAAAGAGTTTGTAAACAATATAAAATGCTGTATAGTGTTGCTTTTCTATGAGAACAACCAGTTTAGCATATGCTAGTGCACATTTTACTTGTTAATTATTGGTCATTTAAGGCCACTTTTATGAGACAAAACACAATTTAATTTACAACACATTAATTTAACCAGTACACCGTATGAACTCACAAGCTGGAAAAACATTTCTTCAAGCAAAACCTAAAACCAATCAGGAGGTCCCTGAAATCCGCTTGCAAAGAAAGCTTCTGATAATGGAAATTAATTGGTATTAAATACAAAAATGTATCAAAACAAGTTTATTTGGACTAAAGGACAACATTCTTCAGACGAGACTTTGCTTAACTGACTGACTATCATAACTTTGCTATGTGATTTCTTTGCACAGTAAACATAAATTGTGCAATCAGTCAGATCTCTCTGGACAGTGAATGTCCTTATTAGGAAAAAAGTGTTGCATTCACATTCTTTTGGAAAAGCCAATTTGTTCAAATAATTTTCAGTGCAGATTTCAATATGCCAAAAATTCTTCAATAAGATCTTGTTGTTTAAGACGCATCCCTTATGAAATGAAGAGAGACTGTGGCAAAAGTGATCTCATCTGCATTCTTCCAGAAGGTGGAGCTCTAAGAACCAATTGTAGTTCAGTCTCAGTTCAGATTAAAAACAGAGCAGACAGACTTCTATTGAGTCACTAATACTCTAGGAGGAAACTGTAAGTCTTGGATCTCTAAGTCATTGTCTCTTATTAGTGCAGATGTTGCTCCTGGTATTCACTATAGTTTCTATTCTAAAAGGTGAGTGATTCATAACAATTACTGCAGGAATGTTTCCCCCCTTTTTATACTGTTGACAATTTAAATTTGTCCATTTGAAATTATTATTTCTATTTGTTTTAAACAGAGAATGCTGCTGCTGACATGATAACACCATTCTTCACAGAGAAGCATGTTTTGGAAGGAAAAGATGTTACACTGATCTGCAACTACACTGAACTTGTTCAGAATTTGCAGTGGTACCGTCAGTATCCCGGATCCAAACCTGAGAACATAATTTTATACTTTGAAACCAGCCCCAAATCAGAGCCCTCTCTCCGTCTGACCGCTGTAGCTGATAAAGTCATCAAACGTATGAATCTGACAATCTCTTCTACAGAAGTCAAAGACTCTGCCATGTACTATTGTGCCCTGGAGCCCACAGTGACAGGAAACACAACTGCACCCTACAAAAACTGAGTGAGAAATGATATTCAAAATGGAAAATCATTTTGCTAAATTTAACTTAACTAATTAAATTTAATATAAAACAAGTTATCTATGATAACATAATTAGCATAGAACCGCAAACTGTAATTACACTATTTCAGTATGTCCAAACCCTGACTGAAACACACAGCTTACTTTGTCTGAAAAAGCAGTATTCTCAGCAGATGCTAACTATCAAGAAATGGTTATGTCTTATTCCAAAGATGATTCTCAGCATACAGTATATTAAATGACATACCTGATGCACTGACTCTTAAACAATTTGTACCAAAATTTGCACAGTGAAGAACATGGAGAACTTTGAAGTACAGTATGTGTGAAGCTGTAAAAGTAATATATGAGAAAAAGTAGGAGGAGCCAGCTAAGGGGAAATTCACTGCAAAACAGGAACGTCAGAGGAACGGCACAATGCCTCCAGAGACAGGAGAGATATAGCATGCAGTTCTCTTGAGAAAATTTCACAAAAACAATGTTGTTGCTCGGACCGGTCATACTTTTCTATTATTTTGGTGAGAGCTTTTATTGCTTTTAGTTCATGTGCTTGGGTAAGACAACTATTTTTTTTTTTCTTTCAGTGCTAATATGTGCTAAATCTATATGTCTTTACAGGTGAAACTACTGGGTATGGAATCAAATCAGATAACAACACCATAGTTTTAATGGAGGATAAAAACATTACGCTCTCGTGCACATATGAAGGCTCAGTAGACAGTCTGTACTGGTACCGACAAAAACCTGAATCAAGATCAGAATTTCTAATAATGATTGATGAAGCTTCTGAATATGTGACAAAAGCCAATCCACCTGACCCCCGTCTGTCAATCAAACTTCATAAAGCACAAAATCGTGTTCATCTGGAAATCTCCTCTGCAGCAGTTATGGATTCTGCTATGTATTACTGTGCTTTGAGGCCCACAGTAACAGGAAACACACACACACTGTACAAAAACCCCTCTACTGTCTATAACAATTCAGAGTGCATTTCGAAATGTAAACATATTTCAAAGTAAACTGCTATTTTTATTTTGTGATGCTGTCTTCTGTCTTTTTAGCTACTAAAAGTGAAATTTCCATGAGACATTACACCCAGAGGGAATCTTCGGCACGGAAGTTAAATTTTGAGAATGACAATTCAACTTCAATCTCAACCACCATATTCAAATCCTGGAGTTCTGCAACCAGCATAATGTGACAGCAGCTACAATGAGTGCTCCACCATTGAGACAAATGTGGTGTAGTCGATTTACAGGGGGGGATTTTTATTACACTGCCACTTCTTTTTTCTAAGGCACGTTTATAAAAGCTACTTAAATGCTTTAACCGAACTAAGCCCTCATCCTGGCTTAATCTGAGATTTGTCTGTGAAACCAGGCCAAATCCTCCCAAACGAAAATATCTGGGCAAAGAAATGTGGGTGGAAATGTTATCAATACTTGAATCAATTGTATGTACAAGTCTGTCATTTAACATGTATTATTTATTATTCATAAGATTGTACAAATTTAAAGGGATACGCCACTTTTTTTGGAAATAGGCTCATTTTACAACTCCCTCAGAGTTAAACAGTTGAGTTTTACCGTCTTCGAATGTATTCAGACGATTTTCTGATATTTAGAAGATTATCAGTAACCAGACTGTTTCTGGTCTCATTGACTTCCATAGTATATTTTTTTCCTACTATGGAAGTCAATGAGACCAGAAACTGTCTGGTTACTGCTATTCTTCTAAATATCTGAAAATCGGCTGAATCGAAAATGGAAAAACTCAACTGTTTACCTCTGGGGGAGTTGTAAAATGAGCCTATTTCCAAAAAAAGTGGAGTATCCCTTTAAAGCAGCTATCAAATTTGTGATTCAGTTAAAAGTAGATGGGTAAAGTTGGTAAGAAAAACTTAGATGTTGGCTAGCATTAAAAATATCTTTTGTGTTTCAAAAATGAACAAACGTTTTATGGGTTTGACCATTTTCATATCTGGATGAACTCTTGAATGCAATAAATGCAAATCTGCAGAAGGTATGCTGATTCATTTGTTTTGACATGCTGTAAAATTCACAGGTATTGGACTCATATTTTAGACTTTCTCTCAAATATTTACAGTCTCAGATTGAAATTCAGCCCGATCTTATGTTGGCCAAATTAGGGGTTAATGCCTGTTTATCTCTTCATGTACAGTTCTATAGAAAAACATCAAAACTGCTGAATTGATGAGCATTATATATTTAAAGATGGCCTACATCGATTTATTAATGGTGAACTAGAATTATTTAGTAACTTCTGGACTGGATGCTTCTATTAAACTGAATCGCTTCATACCTTTTTTTGTGTTGTTGCTTTTTATGCTTTTATGTTGTTTTGATCGTAGATGACTTTTTTAGTAATGATAGTTGTGATACTCTTTCCTAGTGCTGTCCCCTAATATTCAACGAAACTTTAGTTGACAAGAAGAAGCTTAATCGACCAAATTTTAATTAGTTGGTAGTCACACACACACAAACTCCACAGGAAGTAGAAAGTCACAGAGTCCGTGACGGACAGATCATTAAAGGGTTAGTTCACCCCAAAATGAAAATTCTGTCAGTATTTACTCACCCTCATGTTGTTCCAACCCCGTAAGACCTTCGTTCATCTTCGGAACACAAATTAAGATATTTAAGATATTAAGATCGCTCCTGCATACAGTCCATAGGCTTCTTGAGGGACTGGCTCTTGCTGTCCTCGAAAAGTCATTAAAGACATCGTTAAAATAGTCCAAGTGACTACAGGGGCTCAATCTTAAGTTTATCAAACGACGAGAACACTTTTGTGCGCAAAAAAACAACAAAAATAACGACTTTATTTCAACTATTCGTTTATTTCTCCCTCTGCACGAGTCAGGATACTAGTTTAATAGCGTAAGCTTCTGTTATTGTACGTCACACGCATCACACACACATGACCAGCGTCGGCCAATAGTGAGCCTACGTGTGACGTAGCTTTACGCAATCACACTACGTTAACTGACTTACAGGCTCATGGAGAAAGAAGAGAATTGTTGAAATAAAGTCGTTATTTTTGTTGTTTTTTTGCGCACAAAAGTGTTCTCGTCGTTTGATAAACTTAAGATTGAGCCCCTGTAGTCACTTGGACTATTTTAACGATGTCTTTAATGACTTTTCGAGGACAGCAAGAGCCAGTCCCTCAAGAAGCCTATGGACTGTATGCAGGAGCGATCTTAATATCTTAAATATCTTAATTTGTGTTCCGAAGATGAACGAAGGTCTTACGGGGTCGAAACAACATGAGGGTGAGTAAATACTGACAGAATTTTCATTTTGGGGTGAACTAACCCTTTAACACGGCTGGTCCACAATGGTATAGGCCTACAATATAATATCGATATATAAAAGCACTATTAAAACAAGGTAACTTTGATTTGTTTCTAGGCCTACTATACTGTACTTAAAGGCCTATACAGTATATGTATAGTATAAATAATTATCATGTTGATCAGCATTCAGACTTTTTTTTTTTTTTGCAACACGACATCTGCTATAATGTGTTAATGTGTTTCTATAATAAAAACAAATATGATAGGCCATGTCTTACCTGAATCAATGCAGTTAACAAATCAATAAAATATATATATGAAGTGTTCAGATGCAAAAGCCTCTAAATGCCATTTGAAATGTTTGTCAAACTTGTATATTTAAGTTCAGTAATTTCACTTAAATAAATAACAATTAATAGGTAATTATCATTGTAATTTAAGTGAAATCACTGAACTTAAATATACAAGCTTGATAAAAATTATCATTCTAGAAGAAAATTTCAAATGGCACTTAGAGGCTTTTGCATCTGAACTCTTCATATATATATATATTTTTTTTTATACCCCCCACACACACAATGTGACTAGATAACTGCAGACTAGCGTTCTACTTGTGTACATAGACTGTAAAAAATAGGTTGTGTACAACTCGAGTCTTCACAAACACGTGGTCGCCACCTAATGGTGTGAAGACACATTACAGTAATATCTCAGGTAATTTCCTGATCACCCCAACCCCTTTTTTCAATGCTGTCTAAATTGACAAAAAGGGGAGGGGGTGAGGGAATTATACACATATAATTCAAATTTAGTAACAGTAAATTATAGAGTATTGTTTACCATGTTGGGTAAGTTACTCTACAAAATTTTATTACTAGCTAACCACTAATTACATATTCAACAAAGTAATTTGATTATGTTACTAATTACTCTCTGACGCTCTAATAAAAAAGGCATAACTTATTAATTTTCTAAATCCCACATCAACGACCAGTTTAACAATACAATGACAGACATGAAATGCTCTTTTTTATTCTTTCAAATAAAATGGCATACTTTTTTCTTGAACTGACCAAAGTATTTAAAGGAAGAATATAACATTAAAAAAAAAATTTAACACTAGAAATTCAATTTTGGATTTGCAATTAAATTCAATGTAATTAAAGCTGTAGTCCGTAGTTTTTCCTCTTTGCCGGCATCTCTGTTTGAAATCTGCAATTGCAGTTATTTGCAGATGAATCCAACGTTTTGAAGAGAATGTGCACCTGTCATTCACCTCGCCTGGTTACTGTCATTTGCAATCACAGATTATACTTTTTATAAGTATGATCAACATAAGAATTTTCTATGGAAAATGTCATCAGAACGAGTAAGAAACATCCACTTTTGTTCTGACCAACTAAGGGGAAAAAGCATTGCAGTCAATAGCGCTGATTAAATCTAACGATCGCTTATCATATCATGTCAAACCGTGTAAATTATACTTTGTTCTCAAATTGTAAATGTGAACAATTTCAGCATTGCGTGACTGCATTTAATGCCCTTCAGATATTTGTCCTTGTTTTCACATGGGTCCGGTTGCAGTCTCTTTTTTTCCGTAGTCACTAACGGGTGAATCTCTAGCTGTCACTGGTGATTGCCGTTTGAAACTCTCTGGATCCGCTATCAAATTAATAAGTTTAATTATATCAAGTGCTGTGAGAAAAAGCTATAAGTCTCCACCTCCAGCATCCTCACTCGTAAAATAGACCTTTTTCACAAAAAACGGAAATACGTAATCGTTGTGGAAACGGAGTTCCCGTCAACTGTCGACACATTAGGAAAAACCTACTCTGGGAGGAGAAAATTGATCAGAGTCTTCAAAACTTCGAAAAAATGTTAACTTGTCATGGTCCAGTTGTTGATGACTTTGTAAAATGATGTGGTGATGCTTGTCTGCAGCTGATGTATCTAAGACCAAAGATATGACTATTGATTTCAGAACTGAAGCTCATTCTTCCCAATATATGTTCAATAAAGGTAAGAAGGTGGAGTGTGTGGAAAGTTATTCATATTTAGGGAGTATTATTTACAATAAACTGCATTTTGATGTGAATACCAGAAAGAAGTCTGTCAGTTTAATTCAACAGTTATCCTGAATTTTTTGCACTGCTGTTGCTATAGAACGATCAAAGATGAAGAAAAATTATACAAATATTAATTTATCCCTTGTACACTCAGATTGTTAAATACTCAGAATGGTATATATTAATATTTTAAATTTATATGTAGCCCACTGTTGTGTGTTCTTATTTATTTTGTTTTATATTGTGGTGTATATTTTTATTATTCCGCTGGATACAAATATCTTAATAAAGTTGAACATGAACTAACGTTAATTCAAAAATACACAAAACATAAAAAATAAACAAACAATGACGGCTTATTAGTGAATGGTGACATGAGAAGTACAGAAGATCACAGGATCAATAACATCCAGCCAGATTGCCTGAATCCAGTTCCTTCGAACTTCATCGACAGGGAACTGACGAGGGAAGGAATGAAAACGACAGGTATGGCTGCTTTTGGGAATAACCAAAAATATCGGTACGCAACAACTCTCACTAGTTGCCTTCGGCACTATCTGTTATGAATGGAGCGGAAGAAGATTACCACAACAATTGCGTATTTCCGGTCACAAATACGGAAGTTGTGAGAAAGGTCTATAGCATACTAGCCGAGACTCCTTTGTACAGATGTGATGTAATGACATGCTTGATTCTCCCGCGGAAATCCACCACCAGTACCACTGGAATTAAAAACAATATTGCAAGCTTACCGCTTTGAATCGAGCTTAGGCAAGCAGATAGTTTTGAACATTGGTTGGTTATTGTAGCACTTGTCTGAATTATTAGCAGTAATTAAGAAATTTCCTTTTTATTTTAGTTTTATAATACAGATAAGATTTGAATTCCGTCAGAAGAATTAGGGATCGCTAAGGAGACAGCAGGTTAACATGAGAAGTAACAGACAGACATAAGATTGAATTAGGGAAATATAATAGGTTTCACTTGAAAGAAAAAAAATAGAAAATTTATAAAAGTAAATTTCAAGATCACATAAACAACAGACAATAAAATTGACTAAGAAAATTTCCACCATGAGTGCACTCTTGTCGATATTATTAATTATGTACCCACAGTTCAACA